CAACTAAAGGGGTGGCCGGCCCGAGTCCTGGACAGCCCTGACCCCATGACAGGTGGGCACCCACACACCCCACATGTCCATGGGAGGCTCAGCACGGGCGGTGGCTTAGCCTTGGAGGATGCATTCTGGCAGGTGCCAGCAGTCACAGACATCCCACGCTGCCACGCCCCAGCAGACTCGCACCCCACTCTGCCACCCTGTGCCAGCACCAGCACCCCAGGGTCTGTGGGCTGACGGCTGCGCAGTTCAGACAACTTGCTTCCTTTTGCCTTTCTGGGCCTCATCGTCCCTGCGTGACACAAGAGCACCATCCCTCTACAGAGCGCTCAGTGAGAATCTCAGGAGCTGAGGCACCCCAAGCCCTGCGAGCAGTATCTGGGCGTATCGGTGCCCCTCAAACGGGCTGTTTACTGTATGTGTTGAGTCGGCTCTCCAGAGGCCTGTCCATTCATGGCGCGTCTCAGGCACCCCTGGTGGGCCTGGGGTCCTCTGAAGCCCCACTGTGAAGACCACAGAGAGGCCCCAGAGCAGTCCTGTACACCCAAGACCCTCCCTGCCCTCCACCTGGGCCACTCGGAGGGGTTGGGACCCTGGCACCCCCAGAACCCACGCTCCTCGGGGATACCCAGCATCCTGGAGCCCCATGAGGACGATCAGATCCACTGAGGCCTGGGTGTGAATCCTGGCTCCACCACTCAGCTGCTGTGTGAGCTCAAGCAAGTCACTATTCCTCTCTGAGCCCAATCTCTTTTTTGTAAAACAGGGCTGGTCCACAGCTCCCACCTGACAGAAGTGCTGTGAGGAGGAAAGACAGTCACAAGGCTGGGGTTGTGCTGGGCTTATTAGCACAGGGCTGGGAGGACGGGGGAGAGGCTGAGAACCTCTCAGGGTCCTCTGCTCAGAACCAGAACCTGCCTCAGGGTGGAACGCCACAGGGAACAACTGGCAAGTGTACAGGGGACAGCAGTGACGGGCACACGCTGTACAGTGACCCGTGCTGCCTGTGTCTCCCCAGTCGTGGTCTATAACTGCGCCATGGGCAGCCCTGACTGTTCCCAGTGCCTGGGCCGAGAGGACCTGGGTCACCTGTGTGTGTGGAGCGACGGCTGCCGCCTGCGGGGGCCCCTGCAGCCCCTGCCTGGCACCTGCCCTGCCCCCGAGATCCGGGCGGTAAGCACTCCCCCTGGAGGCCCTTGGCACCCACACGCCTGCACGACACACATGAGGCGCCCCATATAGGTCTCGCATGCTCACAGACTCACAGCCACACCAAGGCACACACGTGTGATGTTAACAGTGAGCAAATCAAGTGCCCCGCCTCACAGAGTGAGTGTTTGAGTTGGGGAGGAGGGCAGTCATGAATTAGGAAACACGTAAGTTAGACATAGAAGGTGACAGGTGCCGTGGAGAAATGTCACAGGGCAGGGGCTTTGGAGGGGCGGGGATAGAGTCTGAGTGTTTCTAGCTTTCATAGTGAGGGCAGGGAAACCTTGCTGGTCTGGTGATCACTGAGGCCACCCGCAGCTCCCAAGCCTCCCTTTTAATTAAGAAAAAGATCTCTTCGGGACCCGCTTGGGCAACTTGGCGAGACCTCATCTCTACAATAAATATCAAAAACGAGCTGGGCGTGGTAGCGCGCGCCTGTAGTTCCGGCTACTCGGAAGGCTGAGGCAGAAGGATCGCTGGAGCCCGACAGGTCGAGGCAGCGGTGGCCGGGAGCAGCCACTGCACTCCAGTCTGGGCGACAGAGTGAGACTCCGACTCAAAAAAAAAGTCTCAGGGGAGGATTCTGGTTGGCTTAGCCTGGGACACATGGCCACCCCAGACCCAATCAGCTCTGGCTGGGATGCAGTATCATGTGGTCAGACATGGCCACTGGGAACTGACCCCAGCGTCCCTCAGGAGACCCCGTAAGTGGCATCCCCAGGCCCACGTGGGCTCAGTGACACACACGCACGTCCTCACGGGGACCTGCCAAGAGATGGCCTGGGACCTGCCAAGAGACCAGCAGGCCCAGCACACCCTGAGCCTCAGCCCTTCTCTGAGCAGTGGGTCTGTGTGGCCATGGGAAGGGGAACCGGCCACCTAGTCCCAGAGCGCCATCACCTGTTTCTCTGATCACCTGGCAGATTGAGCCCCTGAGTGGCCCCTTGGACGGTGGGACTCTGCTGACCATCCGAGGCAGGAACCTGGGCCGGCGGCTCAGTGATGTGGTCCACGGCGTGTGGATTGGCAGCGTGGCCTGTGAGCCACTGGCCAACAGATACACAGTGTCAGAGGAGTGAGTTGTGGGTCGTGCCTCAGCCCTGCCCTCCCCAGCTGCACCGTCCATAGCTCTGCTCTCCCTGTCCCCTCTTTCCTCTCTGCTTCTCTCTAGAAGTCTCTCTCTGGGCCCTTGGGCCCTGCTCAAGTCATTCCCACAGCACACCCTGCCATTTCTGCTTGAGACACTCCTCCTCAACCTTCTGGTTCCAGCTCCGATGCCCACTCCTCTGGGAAGCTCTCCTGTGCTCCCTAGCCCAACCCTTCTTCCACATAAGCCTTGCTCTGATGAAAAGAATTTGCAGTTAAGAAAATTTAGCGGGGTTGGGTGTGGTGGCTCAGCTTGTAATCCCAGCACTTTGGGAAGCCGAGGTGAGAGGATTGCCTGAGCCTGCGGGTTTGAGACCAGCCTGGGTAACATGGTGAGACCTTATATCTACAATAAATCAAAAAATTAGCCAGGCATGGTAGCGCATGCCTGTAGTTTTAGCTACTTGAAAGGCTGAGGCAGAAGGATAGCTAGAGCCCAGCAGGCTGACGCTGGGGTGACCGTGAGCGTGCCATTGCACTCCAGTCTGGGCGACAGAGTGAGACTCTGACTCAAAAAAGAGAGAAAGTTTAGGGGCTACTGACATGGTGTAAATACCTGGGTCTGTAGCTGCTGGGCCTGGCCCAGAGGAGCCCCAGCAAGCATTTGAACAGGGGCTGAGCCGGATTTCCTTTCAGGAAGTCTGACGTCAGGGGTCAGCTAAGGTCCCCAGTCTACCAGCCCAGAGACCCTCTCATCCCACCCATGTCTTACAGCTGCAGAAATCATGGGTAGGGGGTGATCTCCTGAGCCTGGTATCAGAGTGATCCTTGGGGGGCTCTGGAATGTGCTGGCTGCTCCTGCTGACCACAGCTGCCTCTCCTCAGGATCGTGTGTGCCACGGGGACAGCCCCAGGGCCATTCTCGGACGTGGTGACGGTGAATGCCTCCAAGGAGGGCAGGTCACGGGAGCGCTTCTCATACGTGGTAAGGAACGCCGCCACCCGCCGCCTGGCCTGCCCTGCCACATGTACCCTGGGGGCTGCCCAGAAGCCTAACCGCCTGCTTCCCTCCCCACAGCTGCCCCTGGTCCACTCCCTGGAGCCTGCCATGGGTCCCAAGGCAGGGGGCACCAGGATCACCATCCACGGGAGTGAACTCCATGTGGGCTCCGAGCTCCAGGTCCTAGTGAATGACACAGACCCCTGCACAGAGCTCGTGTAAGACGTGGGGGCTCGCCTGCCCCTTCCAGCCTAGAGGAACTCACAGGGTTGGGGAGCTGGGGGCTGGGGTGACTTCCTTGCACCAAGCATCACCTGGGTCTTCGCTGGCTGTGTACTCTTAGCCAAGCCCCTTCCCGTCATGGAACGTGTTTCCTCATCTGGTAAGAGCAGTATCAGTGCATTGAGGGAAGTGCCTTGTGCCTGGAGTGCAGTAGGTGCTCCCAGGGAGAGTTGTCCTGAAAGTGGTGGACTGTACACACTCTGAGATCTTCGGGCTGGACCAGGGATGTGATTTAGAGCCTCCTGGTGAAACACTTTTGACTTATGATGCACTTACTATGAACCAGGCCCTTTGATGGACGCGGTCAGGGACACCCAAATGAGCCCTAGGGAACGCCAGACGTTCTCACAGGAAAGGGGATCCAGTGGGCCAGGGTTGAGAGAAGACAGTGCTCTCAAGGCCCTGCGGGGGAGAGTCCTCACTAGGGATAGGCGTGGAGAGGAGATCTGAGATGGCTTCTTGGAGGAGGTGGGATAGGACAGAATTAAGAAGTCTGGGCGGGGTCAGGGAGAAGAAGGGCAGGTGTCCAAAGTGGGGAGGACAGCCTGAGCAAAGGTGTGACATGGGAATAAGGAAACGGTCGGCGCTTTCAGCCTCTGTTGGAGGGGGCAGGTGAGGCCGGCACCTGCCGAGGAGGCCTTGAACCCTGGGCCAAGCCCACAGGCCTGAGTGAGCAGTGGGGGGCAGGCACTGCTGAAAACACCCACCCCCACCCCCGCAGGCGCACAGACACCAGCATCACCTGCACCGTGCCCGGAGGTACCCTGCCATCCCCAGTGCCTGTGTGTGTGCGCTTTGAGCGCCGGGGCTGCGTGCATGGCAACCTCACCTTCGGGTACATGGAGAACCCAGTTATCACAGCCATCAGCCCCCGCCGCAGCCCTGTCAGGTGAGGCCTAGACTCTGTTTGTCCCTCGGGGCCAGGCCCCACCCTCGAAGCTACAGGTGGGCTGATGGGTCTTGCTGTTCCCACAGTGGCGGCAGGACCATCACGGTGGCTGGTGAGCGTTTCCACATGGTGCAGAACGTGTCCATGGCCGTGCACCACATCGGCCGGGAGCCCACGGTGAGGGCAGCCGGGGGCTGGGCAGGCGGGCGGTGGGTGGGCTGGCACAACCAGGACCCGAACGGCCAGGCCTTCTCCCCCTGCATCCTCTCATCCCTCCTCCTCTGTTTCCTTAAACCTCACCATCCCCCGTTTCCCCACGTGTGTCTGTCCGTCCTCTTTCCCGGCCTCGGCCCCTGACCCTCCCGCACCAGCTCTGCAAGGTTCTCAACTCCACCCTCATCACCTGCCCATCCCCTGGCGCCCTGAGCAACACCTCAGCACTGGTAGACTTCTTCATCAATGGGCGTCCCTATGCGGATGAGGTGGCCATCACCGAGGAGCTGCTGGACCCCGAGGAGGTGCGGCGCGGCAGCAGGTTCCGCCTGGACTATCTCCCCAACCCACAGTTCTCCACGGCCAAGAGGGAGAAGTGGATCAAGCACCACCCTGGGGAGCCTCTCACCCTCGTCATCCACGTGAGCGCCGTGCGGCAGGGTGGGTGGGGTGAGGGACTGGGCTCAGCCTGGGCCTCGGCCCCTGAGTGTTCCCTCTGTACCCACAGAAGGAGCAGGACAGCCTGGGGCTGCAGCGCCATGAGTACCTGGTCAAGATAGGCCAAGTGAGCTGTGACATTCAGATCGTCTCGGACAGAGTCATCCACTGCTCAGTCAACGAGTCCCTGGGCGCAGCCAAGGGGCAGCTGCCCATCACAGTGAGTGGACGGGGCCCTGAAGGCCGAGGAGGACCTAGCCCCCCGGCCCATCTGCCAAGTGTCAGCCCCCTGCCCTAAACCAGAAGCGACTGAGCATTTTCACACTCGATAGCTTAGGCAAGTCAGCAAAGCAGAGCTTTACATCCCCGCTCGACAGATGAGGAAACAGGCCCGAGAACTGCTCAAGCTCAGTGATGAGCCCTGTCTGGACCTGATGGGTCTGGAGTTTGAGAAGCCATAAGATGTTGCCCCGGTCCCACTTGGTGTTCCTGGGCTGCCTGCTGGTCACCACGTAGAGGCACGAAGGGGAGGGAAGCAGGAGGACCAGAGGGGCCCCAGAAAGCAGGACTTTTTCTCCATGTATCTGCTTGCATGCTCCCTGGGGTGGGGAGCTCACTCTCTCCCGGGCCACTTCTGGCGCCCCAGGATGGCTCTGATGGGGAAAGCTCCTTTTCACCTGCACCTGAGGCTGTCTTGCCATCTGAGTCAGCATACCCCACTCTCCCCTGGTCCCAGGGAAGCCCTCACACATAACTTGGGAACAGCAGCCGGGCCGTGAACTGTTCCCCTCTGGCCCCTTCACTGCTCCTTCCAGGCTGAAATAATCACGGCCCCGTATTGAGTCTTGCCTCTGTGCCAGGCCCAGACCCAGGGCCGCCTCGTTTAGTCCTCACAGTGTCCCCGGGAGGTGGATGCCATTATCGCTCTGTGACTGAGGTGGCACCGGAAGCTCCAAGAGGCTATGTGACCTGCGCAAGGCCACACAGAGAGCGAGAAGCGACACGGCGTGAGTCCGGGAGAGCTACAATTCCCTTCCCCTACCTCTGTGCAGATCCAGGTGGGGAATTTCAACCAAACCCTCGCCACGTTGCAGCTGGGAGGCAGCGAGACGGCCATCATTGTGTCGATCGTCATCTGCAGCGTCTTGCTGCTGCTCTCCGTCGTGGGTAAGGAGCTCAGCCCTGCCCCGCCGGCCCCAGCCCTCTGAAGACGGGCGGGTGGAGCGAGGCAGATCGGGCTGAGGACACGGCGCGGCCCAAGGCTTGGGGGCGGGAACAGGTCAGGCACCCGGAGCTCGGGGGTGCCACGGCTTTGGCACCGGTGGGCAGACAGCCCGCGGCATCAGGAGTAGACTCTGGGCCTAGGCCGTGGGCCCTGAGTGCCAGGCAAAGGAATGTGAAACCATGTTCTCCAGGCAATGGGGAGTTACTGAAGGTACTTCAGAGAGGGTTGTTCAGGGAAGATTAACCTACGTGTCTGGTGGGCTATTCCATTGTTAAAATAATGGGTGTAAAAGTGATGTACTCAGCGTGACAGAGAAATGTCTGATGGTGCAGCTGTTTTGGAAAACCTGTCAACAGTTCCTGGCGACATTAAACCCAGAGTTGCCATGTAATCAGCAGCTCCACTCTTAGGTCTCTGTTCAAGAGAAATGGAAACGCATCCACACCAAAACTTGTACACAGATGTTTATAGCAACATTATTTATAACGACCAAGAGGTTGAAGCAACCCAAATGTCCATCAGCTGATAAATGGGTAAATAAAATGTTGTCTGTCCATAAAATGGAATATTACTCAGCCATAAAAGGAGTGATGTGTTGACATGTGCCACAGCCTGAACAAACCTTGATCATACTGTGCTAAATGAAAGAAGCCACATGAAACGCTTCGTATTATGTGATTCCATCTACAATAAATGTCCAGAATAGGCAAATCCTTAGAATCAGACAGCAAATTAGTGGTTGTCAGGGGCTGGGTGAGGAGAGATGGGAGTGACTGCTTACAGGGACAGTTCTTCCTGGGGTGATAAACATGCTCTAAGTTGGCCGGGCTCAGTGGCTCAAGCCTGTAATCCCAGCACTTGGAGAGGCCAAGACAAATGGATTGTCTGAGCCCGCGGGTTCAAGACCAGCCCAGGCAACTTGGCAAGACCTCACCTCTACAATGAATTTGTTAAAAACTGGCCGACCTCAGTGGCTCAGCCTGTAATCCCAGCACTTTGGGAGGCCGAGGCAAGTGGATTCGAGACCAGCCTGGGGAAACTTGGTGAGACCTCATCTCTATAATAAATCAAAAATTAGCTGGACATAGTAGCACACACCTATAGTTCTATCTACTTGGAAGACTGAGGCAGAAGGATCACTGGAGCCCAGCAGGTCGACGTTGAGTGGCTATGAGTGTGCCACTGCATTCTAGCCTGAGCAACAGAGTGAGACTCCAACTCAAAAAAAAAAAAAAAGTAGCAGGGCATGGTAGCACACACCTGTAGTACTGGCTACTTGGAAGGCTGAGGCAGAAGGATCACCTGAGCCCAGCAGGTCAATACTAGGGTGGTCATGAGCATGCCACTTCACTCCAGCCTGGGTGACGGAGTGAGACTCCAACTAAAAAAAAAATGCTCTGAATTTAGATAGCGACAATGGTTGTACTACTCTGTGAATATACTAGAAACCACTGAATGGCATGTGCATTGTATCAATAAAACTTTTTTAAAAATGAGTATATTCAGTGCAGAAAAGTTTAAGAAAAACTGGAAGAAGACAAATGGAAAAAAAAGTATCCAAGAGTCTGTATATTTGTGTATATTTTCTTCCGGGCTTTTTTCTAAAATTGCTACATATAGGCCAGGCTCAATGGCTCAACTTGTAATCCCAGCATTTTGGGAGGCTGAGGCGAATGAATTGTCTGAGCCCGTGGTTCAAGACCAACCTGGGCAACTTGGCGAGACCTCGTCTCTACACTAAATCAAAAATTAGCCGGGTGTGTTAGCACCCAACTATAGTTCTAGCTACTTGGAAGGCTGAGGTGGAAGGATTGCCAGAGCCCAGCAGATCGAAACTGGGGTGGCTGTGAGCAACTAAAAAAAAAAAAAAAAAAAGCTACATATGTATAATATTTTGTATACATTACATTTGTATTCTCCCCTTGCCCCAGAAAGGGATTATAATGCAATACTGCATTTTAATCTGCTTCTTTAAAATTATTTTATTTTCTTTTTAGAGTTGGAGTCTCACTCTATTATCCAGGCTGGAGTGAAGTGACACAGTCATGACTCACTGCCGCTTCGACCTCTAGGGCTCAGTCTATCCTCCCACCTCAGCCTCTCAAGTAGCTGGGACTATAGGAACACACCACCATGCCCAGCCTATTTTTTACTTTTGTAGAGACGTGGTCTAGCTGTATTGCTCAGGCGGGTCTTGAACTCCTGGGCTCAAGCAGTCCTCCTGCCTTGGCCTCCTAAAGTGCTGGGATTATAGGTGTGAGCCACCACACCCAGTGCAGTCTGCTTTTATTTACTTATTTATTTATTTTTTGAGTCGGAGTCTCACTCCGTCGCCCAGACTGGAGTGCAGCGGCCGCTTCCGGCCACCACAGCCTCAACCTGCTGGGCTCCGGCGATCCTTCCGCCTCAGCCTTCCGAGTAGCCGGAATTGCAGTCTGCTTTTAAACGTTTTAAATTTACAAGTAGCGCCTGGTCATTGATGAAGGCGTAGAAAATGCTAAAAAGCAGAAAGAAACAGAATCATAATTCCCTTACCCAGGGAAAGCCATTGTTAGCCACTATTTTACACACACACACACTTTTTTTCCAAGAACGGATCGAGGGTGGCTTTGCTGGCTGTGCCCAAGTTCTCCACTCTGTAGACGCTCCGCCCACCAGGGAGGAAGGGCTGCAGGCCACGGATGCCCATCCTCCTCCTCACACCATGCCCAGGGGAACCAAGGCCAGTGAGCAGAGCTTCTCTTTCCCCGGGCCCTGCATACAGCAGGTGCCAATAAAGGACTTTGGAGGTCTGACCCACCTTTCTGCTGCCCCCAGCCCTGTTCGTCTTCTGCACCAAGAGCCGCCGTGCCGAGCGCTACTGGCAGAAGACGCTGCTGCAGATGGAGGAGATGGAATCCCAGATCCGCGAGGAAATTCGCAAAGGTAGCCAGCTGGGACCTGCAGGCCTGGGCCTTCCCGGCTGGGGGCAAGTCCTCTGTCCACTCACGGTTGCCTGTGTGTTCCCCAGGCTTTGCTGAGCTGCAGACGGACATGACAGATCTGACCAAGGAGCTGAACCGCAGCCAAGGCATCCCCTTCCTGGAGTACAAGCACTTTGTGACCCGCACCTTCTTCCCCAAGGTCAGTGGAGCCAGAGCCACCTGAAGGGCAACTGCCACCTGAAGGGCAACTCCACCTCTCTGGGCCCTGCTGGCCTAGAGGGCACCTTTGTGCAGTGTGGGCCCCTTGAGCAGTGCAAAACCTGCACAGCTGTCTGTAGCGGTCCTGGCCACCCTTCCTGGCCTACCAAAGGAGGGGCCCAGCTTCTCCCTGCACTTCCATTCTCTGCTCACTTGGTGTCCAACCGTCCTTCAGAGGCCAGCTGGCCACCCCACTCGCCCGGGGTGTGGGCCCGTCTCTTCCCTCACGAGTGGGGAGCAGGGGTGGCCAGGACTGCTTCAGCCCAGCCTCTCCCATCTCTGGCTCCTCCCAGGCAGGATTCTCTTGATCTCCATGTTCCTCGCTCCCGTCCACTGGTCTCAGCCTCACCCCTTCCGGGCCTCCCCGCCTCCCCTGGCCCGTCTGGGTGTTCGTGCTGGCGGCTGGCAGCCTCCCTTGCCCAGTCCACACCGCTCCCCGTGCAGCAGCCAAAGCAAGTCCCTGTCTGACGGCAGCGTCTTTCCCGAACCCGCCCCGTGGCCCTTCCCAGCCTCAGAATGAAGCTCACTCTCCCACGGCAGCCCTACCTGGCAGCGTCCTCACCAGCCTCTCTGCCTCCGTTTCCCCCACTATGCACTGAGCTGCTTTTGCTTCCCCTGGAGTCTTGTGCTGTCTTGCATTGCCACACCTCGGCTCCTGCTGGTTCTTCTTCCTAGGACCCCCTCCAGGGAGCCCTCTGGGATGCCCTCCCTGCTCCTCTGGAATTCCACAGCCCCCTGAGCTTGGCCCACTGCCTCTTACTCCCTTACATGGGGTTATTTCTATGTCGGCTTCCCCCAGCAGAGGCCCACTGGGCTAGCCCAGGTCGGTGCCTTTATCTGCTTGTGAGTGACCCTCACGTGCCAATCCGGGGGTCTCCAGCCCCACTGAGATGCTAGGGTCTGTCTCCACAGTGCTCCTCCCTCTATGAAGAGCGCTATGTCCTGCCCTCCCAGACTCTCAGCTCCCAGGGTGGCTCCCAGGTGCAGGAGACCCACCCGCTGCTGGGAGAGTGGAAGGTGAGTACCCCCACCCAGCCGACTGCTTCAGGCAGCCCTGCCCCTCCTGGGCCCTGCTTGCCAGCTCATTGAACCCACCAATGCCGGTCACGGGAAGGGGGGAGGTAGCTGCCACTGTAAGGTACGGAGCCCTCCATCCCAGGAGGCGCTCCAGCAGCCATTCAGGGTGTCACAAGTGCTGACGGCTCAGCCCAGGTAGAGAGGACAGAGGATTGGGCCCCTGTGCACCTCATCCACCTGCTGCTTAGAGAATGGAAGGTGAGGGTCGCCCACACTGGGATGGGGGTTGCCTCTGGGCACTTTTACCCTTCTCTGGGCCCACTTTTCAACTCAACTGAGCGGTTGTTTCCAGTCATGGGGAGCTAGGAGGCACCCATCATTGGAAGGCAGTGAGCTCCCCATCCCAGGAGATATACAAGCAGCCATTCATGGCATCATAAGCCAGGCAGGAGCACTGGGTCCCTTCAACACCCAACCACTGACTGCTTCTGCAGATCCCTGAGAGCTGTCGGCCCAACATGGAAGAGGGGATCGGCCTGTTCTCCTCACTACTCAACAACAAGCACTTCCTCATTGTCTTCGTCCACGCACTGGAGCAGCAGAAGGACTTCGCAGTGCGTGACAGGTCAGGCTGTGAGGGACTCGGGTGGGGTGAGGGGAGAGAGCTGTCTAAGGCCTCACGACAGCAGGCTCTGGGGCTCCTGAGACCCCCCCCCACCATGTTCCTGCCCTTCCTGGGCCTGGATGCCCAAGATATGGGCTCACAGGATGCGGTGGCTGCTGTGGACATGGAAGAGGTGGCCCTCTGTCCAGGCAGGTTCCAGCCCCACTCATCCGTCTGCGGGAGCCGCCCACACAGGCACCCCCAGGACCGCTGGGTCGGGGCACAAGATGGCACTGAGGCCCCAGGAGCCCTGGGCCCCGGGTCCATGAGGCGTCCTGACGCTGTCGCACCCACAGGTGCAGCCTGGCATCCCTGCTGACCATCGCGCTGCACGGCAAGCTGGAGTACTACACCAGCATCATGAAGGAGCTGCTGGTGGACCTCATCGACGCCTCGGCTGCCAAGAATCCCAAGCTCATGCTGCGGCGCACGGAGTCTGTGGTGGAGAAGATGCTTACCAACTGGATGTCCATCTGCATGTACAGCTGCCTGCGGGTGAGCCATGGGGTGGGGGAACGGTGGGCTTGGGACGGTGGGGCCACGCTGCCCATGGCGGACCCGCCGTCGTCAGACCCTCAGGCCCACTCTGCGGGAGGTTGGTTGTGTCCTTTTGCAGATGTGGGAAGAGGTAGTTCCGAGGGGGACAGGACAGTCCCCTGGGACCCATTCTGCAGATGGGGGCGCCCCGGCTCCGAGGAGGCCTGGCTGGCTTGCTGCAGGGGCTTGGGGCCCACTCAGGGCGGGACGGAGGTCGTGTGGGGCCCCGTCGTGTGCAGCATTTCCTCGGCCCTCCCTGGTTGGCTCTGGCCGGCCGCTCGGATTTAGGTGGTAAATCCGCCCCAGCTGGTCTCTGAGGCTCTCCCAGCCTTAGGTGAGAGAGAGAAGCAGATGGAAATCAGACTCCTCAGTGCCACCCAGGAGATCCCAGTCCAGGGAGGGTTCGTAGTGGCTTCCTGCAGCAGGTGACCCCATGCTGAGACCGAGGGCTTAGAAGGAGCCGGCTGGGTGGAGAGTCGGTGGAGAGGGTGCTCCCCGCCGGGGTGCCGCACAGCGAGGGCTGAGGGACGGAGTGTTGGGGAGGGGGGCAGGAGGCCACGGGCCCTTCGGAGGAGGGAGCAGGCAGGAAACGGTGGTAGAGCCCGCGGGTCGGGCCTTCCGCGTTCTGCCCCAAGCACCCCCACCAGGGCTTTTCTGCAGAGCAGGGCTCTTTAGCACCTGGTCCTGCCCCACCGTCCAGCGGCCATGGGGGAGAGAGGCCAGAGGGTCATCTGGGGGTCATGGGGGAAAGGCAGAGGCTCAGCAGGAGCCCAGAACCAGGCCTCAGATGTCCCGGGCTAGAGTCCGATCTTGGGCACAACTCCACCGTGTGACCCTGGGCAGGGCACTGCCCTCTCTGGGCCGCGGCTTCCTTCGTCAGGGGGGCTTCTGGGCCCAGGCCTGGGGCTCATGAGTGCCAGATCGCCTGGTGGAGTCCTGTGGCTCCTCCTGGGGAAGGTGGGGCAAGGGGGTGGAGCAGAGGCTGCTCCCAGAGAGGGGCCGTTAGGCCACCTCCAGCTCCCTCGGCTGCCTCATCAGTGGCCCTCGGGCTGTCCTGGGGACGATAGGGCCACCATGGACTCTGGACCTGGCTCCTCTAGCCTTGCTGTGTGGCCTCAGCCAGGCCTTCCCCTCTAGGCCGGTTTCCTCTTCGATAAAATGGGGCACCAGCACCCCCCCACCCGAGCCTGGGGAGTCAGATCAGAAGTAATGGCTGGCGTGGTGCCTTCAGAATCTTTGCCAGGGCTGTCCAAGACATTGTATACTTCGTTTTCTCTTAAATATCCCCTAGTGGAACACCTGGGTCACTTACTGAACAATGACTTTGAGTATCAGCTCCAGGCTGTGGGTGGCCGCGCCCCTTCCTGGAGAGCTGCGCTGTGTGAAACAGGAGATGGGCAGGAGCAGGGTCTCGGAGCCCACAGACATCAGGCTGTGATGGGTGGAGGCCACGTCTGGGTTCTGGTTCCACCTAAACTCACCCTGGCAGGCTCCCACTACACAGAAGGTCACAGACTTGGCCGTCAGTCTGGGGTCGGAGTCCTGCTCCACTGCTTCCCAGCTGGGTGACCCTAGGCAAGTTGCTTGCCTTCTCCGAGCCTCAGCTTTATCGGCTGCACAGTGAAGACAATATCCCATCCCTGGGAGGGTTGCCAGGATGATGAAATAACGTGCCCACCCACAGCCGGTAGTGTTCAATAAACTCGAGCTCAGCTGGCCTCGGTGGTTCAGCCTATAATCCCAGCACTTTGGGAGGCCAAGGCGAGTGGGTTGCTTGAGTCCGCGGGTTCGAGACCAGCTTGGGCAACATGGCGAGACCTTGTCTCTACAAGAAATCAAAAATTAGCCGGGTGTGGTAGCACACGCCTGTAGTTCTGGCTACTTGGAAGGCTGAGGAGTAAGGATTGCCAGAGCTCAGCAGGTCGACACTGGGGTGGCCACGAGCATGCCACTGTACTCCAGCCGGGGTGATGGAGTGAGACTCCCAACTCAAAAAATAAATAAATAAATAGACAAACACAAGCTCAGAGTCGGTGGAGACACACGGGCAGGGGGCAGGGGGTGTTGGCATCAGGACCCAAAGGAGAGCATTAAACAGGCAGCCGCAGAGGTGCTGGGAGAAGCAGGCGGGGAAGGTTTGGCCCCAGGCGTGGGGGCTGCAGCAAGCAGGTGGGGCCAGGAGGTGGGGGGGCTGCCCTCGGCCCCTGACAGCCCATGCCCACGCAGGAGACGGTCGGGGAGCCGTTCTTCCTGCTCCTGTGTGCCATCAAGCAGCAGATCAACAAGGGCTCCATCGACGCCATCACGGGCAAGGCCCGCTACACGCTCAACGAGGAGTGGCTGCTTCGGGAGAACATCGAGGCCAAGCCCCGGGTGAGCAGGGGCTGGGCGGGGCCGGGGCCTGCTTGGCCCTGGTCTCCAGGGTGGACCCCACCGCCCTGGGCGGGTGGAGGCTGCCCGGGGTCCCAGTGTGGTGGCGGCGGCGACTGACTGAGCTCGCCCTCCCACCCTCTCTCCTGCAGAACCTGAACGTGTCCTTCCAGGGCTGCGGCATGGACTCGCTGAGCGTGCGGGCCATGGACACTGACACGCTGACGCAGGTCAAGGAGAAGATCCTGGAAGCCTTCTGCAAGAACGTGCCCTACTCCCAGTGGCCGCACGCAGAGGATGTTGACCTTGGTAGGTGGGGGTGGGGTGGGTGCTTCCATCAGCTGCTTCAGCTGGGTCGGCCCCTGCCTTGGCCAAAACGCCCCTTCCTTTCTGTGCGCACACATGCGTAGTGGCCCTGGGTACCCTGAGGTGATCAGATGAGGTCCCCATCAGCAAGAAGCTCTAATTCCACAGGAGATAAGTCCTGCAGTGTGAGCAAGCTGCAGGCAGCAGCAAAAAGCCTTCAAGGAAGGCTTCCCAAAGGAGGGACGCCGGAGCAGGTTTTGAAGGATGCCTAGGAGTCTTGGTGAGGCCAAGAAGTGGAGGCCGTTTGTTCCTAAGACCACAGGCCTTTCCTGAGCACTGGCTCTGAGCCAGGCCCTGTCCTGAGCACCGGCCTGTGTGGTGAACAGGCAGGTGCCACGATTGTGTGGTTCAGGGAATTTAGGGTGGCTTGCTGGGTCTGGCATGCAGGCTGGGCAGGAGCTCCGTCACCTGGAGCCTGGAAGGGAAGTCGGGCACTTGGGCTTAGTCTGGAAGACAGCGGGGAGCCATAGAAGGCGTGTGGCTATGTTCACACGTGGAGTCTTTTCCTGTTTTAGGAATAACCTGCAGGGGAGGCCATTTCTCTGTGCCCCCCACCCTGGTGCCTTCACTTTGTGTCTCCGCACCCTGTGCCCCAGGTCTTTCTCCTTCTCCCTACTTTCCAGTTGGGAAAATAGAGGCCTCGGTTTCCCTGGAGAGAGCAAGAGGCCCCTCCTGGGTGGCGGGGCCGGCGCCTGCCCCTCAGGCCTGACTCCCGCCCCGAGCCCTGATGGCCTGCTCTTTGCCCCCAGAGTGGTTCGCCTCCAGTACCCAGAGCTACATCCTGCGGGACCTGGACGACACCTCGGTGGTGGAGGACGGCCGCAAGAAGCTTAACACACTGGCCCACTACAAGGTGGGGCTCCTGCCCCGCCCGCCCCGCCCCACCCACTCTGACCTCTGACCCCTGACCTCCACCTCGCCTTTCCCGTCAGATCCCTGAAGGGGCCTCCCTGGCCATGAGCCTCATAGACAAGAAGGACAACACACTGGGCCGAGGTAGCGCGGGCGCACGTGGGGCGGCAGTCTCCCTCCCGTGCCCTAGTGGGGAGGACCCGGGAGGGCAGGACTGGGCTGGGTTGGGCGGTGGCCTCCTTGGTGCCGGTGGGGGCCGGCCAGCCTCCTCTGACCCAGTACAGCTCGGGCAGGGCCTGCGGCCAGGCCTCCTCAAGCTGATTTCTTGTGGCAGCTGGAGCGAGGCCCCAGGAGGGCGGGACGTGGTTCCAGGAGGTCTGGGCAGCGGCCAGGCCAGAGGACGGACTGGCGTGCCCATCGGGGCCTTGGGCCGTGTCCCTGCCTCACCCACGTCCTTGCGGACACCCAGGCACAGCCCGGCCTGGGAGCCTGGGCTTCCCGGGCCTCAGGGTCCCCTCCTGAGGTCGAGAGGTTGTCTTGGGTCTCTCCCAGCAACCTTGGGGGCTGGGCCGGCTGGAGCTCTGGGCTTGGGGGTGGGGTGGGCAAGGGCAGCCACCCTGCCCCCGTGGGGCCGCTCCCTCCCCGCTCTGTGACTGCATCTTTGTGTTTCTGCCCACCTCTCCCTCTCTCTGTGCTTCTCCATCGCTGCGGTCACGGTGCGTGTCTTTCTCTCTCACTGTCTCTTTCTCTCTCTGCCTCCCTTGTCTCCTCTGTCTCTGGCTCTCGCGTCTCTTTGCATTTCTCCGTCTCTCCCTGACTCAGTCTCTCTGTGTGTCTGCATCTCTGTCTCTCTGCCTCATCATCTCTGCCTGTCCCCGTTTCTGTTTCTCTCTCCCTCCTCCTTCTCTTTCTTGTTTATTTATTGTGTGTGTTTCTTCTCTCGCAGTTAAAGACTTGGACACAGAGAAGTATTTCCATTTGGTGAGTGCCCAGCTTTGGGCCCTGGGGACCCAGCCCCTCACTGGGTGTGGCCTTGGCTTTCTGCCACCCTGGGCCTCCAGGAAAAACCCTCCAACCCTGGGAAAGGGTGGGGGTGGGGAGCGGGGACGGGGCCCAGAATTAGGGGCCAGAGCCCTTGTGTGCCGAGATGTGTGGCCGAGCCAGCTGCCCATGGGTGCAGGATGACCTCCCGCAGACTCCCAGGGATGGTGCCTGCCGCGGGTGCTGACCACTGCCCAGCCTCCCAGGTGCTGCCCACAGACGAGCTGGCGGAGCCCAAGAAGTCCCACCGGCAGAGCCACCGCAAGAAGGTGCTACCAGAGATCTACCTGACCCGCCTGCTGTCCACCAAGGTGGGCCCCGCCTCGGTGCCCTCTCTGTGCAGTGGGTACAAGGCCCGGGCCTGGCTCTGGGAGGCCATCACTCCAGTGGGTCAGCTGTGCCTGCCCCTCTTCCTGATTCCCCTGTGGGACTGGATGAGTTTTCGGGCAAGAGGCTGAGGGCTTAGGGTTCCATCTGGGGAGGCCTTGGTTCACAGCCATGAAAGGTGCCTGAGGAACGCTTCTATGCCAGCTCTTGTAGCAGAGAGGGCAGCAGAGGCTCAGAGCAGGCCTCGGTGGCAGAGTTGGCACCCTGCAGTCCACATTCTGGCTCTACCAGTTTTCGGTTCTCTGCCCTAGTATCTTCCTTGGTCCTTTCAATGCCCCTGTGAGGCCGGCTTCATGAGCCCATTTCTTTTTTTCTTTTTATTTGAGTTGGAGTCTCACTCTGTTGCCCAGGCTGGAGTGCAGTGGCCGCTCCCGGCCACCGCAGCCTCGTCTGCTGGGCTCCGGCGATCCTGCCGCCTCAGCCTTCCGAGTAGCCGGAACTACAGGCGCGCGCTACCACGCCCGGCTGATTTTTGATTTATGATAGAGATGAGGTCTCATCAAGTTGCCCAGGCGGGTCTCGAACCCGCAGGCTCAGGCAATCCACTCACCTCAGCCTCCCAAAGGCGCGGGATTGCAAGCTGAGCCACCGAGCCCGGCTCATGAGCCCATTTCATAGACAAGAATACTGGAGCCCAGAGAGGTCAGGTCCCAGCCTGCTGCCATGTGCCCTCCCCACTCATCAGCCCAAGCACTGTAGGCTCTCCAGAGCCACCAGGGGTGCCCACTCACCCTCTGCACATGGCCCTGGGCTGACGGCGGCCACCTCACTCCCTGCAGGGCACTCTGCAGAAATTTCTGGATGACCTGTTCAAGGCCATCCTGAGCATCCGTGAAGACAAGCCCCCGCTGGCCGTCAAGTACTTCTTTGACTTCCTGGAGGAACAGGCTGAGAAGAGGGGAATCTCGGACCCTGACACCCTGCACATCTGGAAGACCAACAGGTTGCTGGCGGACAGGCGGGTGGGGAGGGCCGTGCAGACTTCACTGGGTCGTTGAAACCACTGTGGCGTGGGGGCTCGGAGCCAAGCTCCTGACTCCACCTGCTTGGGTTCAACCCCCACCCTGACATTTCTCAGCTGTGTGATCTTGGGTGAGTGACTTAGCCTCTCTGTGCTTCAGTTCCCCAACTTTATTTATTTATTTATTTTTTGAGTTGGAGTCTCACTGTCGCCCAGACTGGAGTGCAGTGGCCGCTCCCGGGCCACCGCAGCCTCGACCCTGCTGGGCTCCGGGCCATCCTT